AAAAAAAAAAAAAAAAAAATCTTCAAATGCCTTTTTTAATTAAACTTCATTATTTTTCTAATTTATTTTTCTTTTATAGGAAATCTCAAAGTACCCTTATTCTTGGCCACCTTGGCTGTTGCCCTTTCTTGCTCTTTCATGGCCTCCATGAGCAACCTCTCTTGTTCTTTCACCGGGAAAAGCCCATTTTCGTCATAAATATTATCTTCCATCCCATAATCTCCATAATACCAATAATTCTTCCCGCACTTTTTTTCGATCTCTGCATCTTTTTGCTTGGAGCTTTGCCGCAGGTAACGGTGAGGCCTTCTTGAAGATGGCAAATCCTCCATGCAATTCTTGACTAAAACTAAACTTTTCTTCTTGTATTTTGTCTTCTGGAAGTGGTAACAATGAGGTAGCTGTATATGATGATTATTGTGTGTATAGTAGTTAGTTATAGACTGCTTATTACAGACCTTACAGTGTGTCTTCTTAGTTGGTATTTTTTGGCTTTATTCACCAAAATAGTCACACGCATGTCATGCAAACATTTATTGTTCACAACTGTGTCATTCCAACGTATTTAATTAATAAACACAGGTCGATCGATGCTCCTGCCAAACTTATTCCTGTTTTCGAATTTATTATGCTTCCGTTTAATTAATCAAAATGACAACTTTTTTGTCGTTTAGTGTGTGTGTGTCGATTTAACGATAAAAAAAACACGGTAATTGCACTGCAGTGACCTATAGGCTCGGCTCTTCCCATGTTATCATATGAAAATGTTAACTTGTCAGGGCTGGCCTAGGAGAGTAGGGTGTGTTCTTGAACTAGACGTCGAGTTTACTGTCATTTACATGTATGTATATGAATTTGAGTAGGATTTAGTTTCATTATTAGTAAGTCTTTAAGTTGTATAGAAAAATTTGATCATAACATATCATGGTATTTGCGGAACTCATTGAGGGCATGATTAAAATGAGAGTGGCTTAATCGTTGACATTCTAGTATGACACAAATTATTGTGTGATCTGTCCAATTAGTCAAAACACAAATTCTTCACATAGTATCACAGGCTGTTCTCGAATTTGTTAGGCTCAAAAAGTTGCGAATTTGGAGTTTCAACACATATACGTATTAAGAATTTGTAAATAGAAACCACAAACATCAACTACAGGAACGTGAGATGAAACCTGATTTCTATTAGGAAATGAATAAATTTATTATAAAAAAATTTAACTGACAGTTCTAAATTGCCAAAAACTTTTAATTTTTCTTAGTCTTTGGAGGATTAAAGAGAATATATCTATATGTTCCTTTTGTTTCTCTTCTATCTTGGTGTGTACTTCGTAAGCATGCATGCACTATTTTATAGTGCTTCTAAGACAAGCATGCATTCAATGAATAGGAAATGCTTTAATGCCTTCGTTAAGGCAAAAGTAGAATGAAACTTTGAGTTTCGTTTTTCTCAAACCGAACAAACTTTTCAGTTATGTTTTGCCAAAATGTTTGGCCAAAAAATGAATTTGGACATTTACGGATTTGTAACATTAAACACACCATTATATCTTATATATGAAGATTCCCACAAAATACAATTTCTAATTTTTACTACAACATTTGGTTCATCAAGCTTCATTTGGAATTGACAAGTTTTTATTGAAAGCTTATTTTTTTTGGTGATTTCTTCTACTTTGTTCAATTTTAGTGATTTCTTGTAATTATTCAAAATATGTTTAGGCTAATGAATGTTGACTAGTTTTGCATGAGCGTAGTAGGAATATTTATTATAATTAAATCTCATATTTATATGAAAAAAAAAAACTTTTATTATGATTAAATCTCATATTTATACAAATGTCTGCTAAAATACAGCCAGCAACACAGCAAACCCTGAACCTGAAGTGCCTATAAATAAAATAAAAGCAATAATTACACAAAAAACAGATTAAAA